CGATGACTCGAGGACTCTGCTTGGACCTTCCTCCGAGATCACCTCGGTCTGCGGTTGAACCTCCTCGACCGTCACCGACTCAGCAGTTCTCGAAGCTTCGATGCCTTCCCTCTTCCAAGCCACCAAAAGGCAGTCGGCATCTTCTCCCTCCTCGTCTTCATCTCGTAGCATTTGGACTACATCGACAGATAGAACGGCGGGATCAGTCTTCGACTTTCGAGCCCTGCTTTTCTTAGGCTTTGGGGTATATGAAAGTGAGGCCCTTCTCCTTTTCTTGTCTTTGGTTGGCTTTGAGACCTCCTCTTCCCCCGGAGGGGGGCGGGGGGCTCATGACGACATTATCTCTAAGACATGTATGAGAAGAAATCAAGTTAAAAAGAAGTATTTCACAGGAAAGCATCAAACACGGACATGGGAGCTTACCATGATTTTTGGCCTCCCATCGACCCTTGGCCAAATCTAGCTAAGAGCGCTCAGCATACGAAGATGTTGAAACCAGTTATCAAACCCAACCTACAAGGTCCAGGACTACACCAAGAAACCAGGAGGAAGCTGCACCATAAAGAAGAATATAGATGAGAAGAGGTAAAGGAAACATAACAAGTAATCAAACGTTATTGGTGAAGTTCTACTTATGCTTCATGTTCCATTCTTCGGGGAATGGCATCTTCTCGGTGGGGATTAAGTCGGAGGTCCTGACTCGGACAAACCGGACCATCCATCCTCGAACAAATAGCACCTTCGTGGCCCGGCGCTGAAGCCTTATCAGTCCGCCCCGATAAAGACGGGGGATATATAGCCTAATGAGATGATCGAGGGTGAAAGACATCCCCTCGACCTTGCTCGAGAAGAATCTGAGCAAAATGANGGGGTAGGAATCACCACCTCTTTATTCTCCTAGTGGCAGTCGTTTTTCACCTGCTCGAGATCGCCTTCGGATATCGAACAGATGCATCTAGACATGGGCTCGCATCGGCCAGGAACCGAAGAGAGTTTTTCGACTTTAAAGTCGGAAGTAAGTTCACATGGCCCGGGGATGCACTCTTCGATACGTGGCTCCACTAGTATTTTGTCACCGGCCGGCCACGATGAGGAGGCCTTTTCTTCTTGAGGAACGGTCTTTGATGTTTTTGCCATTGCTATATGAAGTTTAAGGAAGAAGAAGGCGGAATTTGTGTTTTAATAAGAGATTGGCAAACAGAAACCGGCAAAGTTGATGAACTTGAAGAGAATAGAAGAGCTTTTGAAGATTAGAAGAAGTTTGAAAGTAAAGTTTGAGAAGATTATAAAGGTGGTCTATTTATAATAGCCACTTTGATGGTTTGAAAGCACTGGTGGCTGACCATCAACTGGCGTTAATTAATGACCTTGGGAACTGTGCAGATGCGACGCTTCAATCGCTTCCGTCGCTTACGTCACGATATTGACGTCATAATTGATCGAGGTATTAAATCGAAGTCTCCAATTCATTTCTTCTCGTTACACTCCAAAAAACGAGGGGACTATCTGTATACGGTCGAAATCGGGCATACCCGATTTCGTTGGCAGGGGAGTTGCCTCGAGGGTAACCTCATAATAAATCGGGCTCGAGCTCGAAGATAGAACATCAAGCCTGGAGATCGAAGTGTTCATTGAGATCGAGGCCAGCAACAATCGAGATCAAGCATGACTGACTTCGAGTAAGGCGTAATAACGGAAAGTAACCGGTAGAAGATCACAACGAAAAATCCCGGAACAGATCAAATCAAAACGGTTATTAGTGCCAATCATGGGATATACTTCCGTTATTAGAGTTGTACCTTATTTAGGATTCCTATATTATATAAAGAGGGATCCCATTCACTTGTGAGGGGGACAATCATTATTCACTAATAAGAATATACATATACGCTGCTTTCTTTGTTTTACTTACTGTTCATCGTTGTTTGTTTCATCCTCTACTGTTCTTATTAACTAACCTCGAGACTATCTCGAATCGAGGTCAAGGCATTGTTTGCAGACCGGTTTGATTTATTTTATAGTCCAATTTATCTATTTAATCCGTTGTTTATCAATGTTATGGTTTAAATCGCATATCCTTAAAACCACAATATAAGTTTAATTGTTACTCAATTTTTAGGGTAAACATTTACAGATTTCATATTATATGTCATATAAAAATAGTCATTTAACTAAAATCGCATTTGTAATAGACTATAAAATCAACTTTCCAAAATCAGTTTTGACTCGCCATCACGGGTGGGAACTGGGAAATTACTTTCCGAGCTTATAATTAAAATTATTTTTCAACAATATCTTAGTGCAGTTAATAAAATCTATTGACTAAATATTTTAATGCATGAATAATTTATGAAAGAGTTGTTATACCTTTAATGCTTGTGGGAAGAAGACAGTTAGATAAGCACGAGAAGAATCCTGAAATCTCATTAGATTAATGACAATTATTGATAAGACAACACATTCTATATATCCAATATATCAAACTAAAAAGCATGTCAATTAGTCAATAAAAAAAGAAAAGAGGAAATGAGTCACATGCAATGGTGACTCTTAAACAATTAAAAGAGTTGTTTAATTGTTGGCTGGGGGCTCAAGTAGTAGCGATCAATTTTGTGGTTCATTACAAATATCATTTTAGTTATATAATTTTATTTGTAGAAAAATCGATAAAATATAGTAACACATAAAATCGATAAATAAACCAAAGAAATCGTTGTAATCCTTTTCATCTATTTAATATAAAATAAATGATCATAAACGATTATTTTCTCGATCAGTTTAGTGTGAGACAAATTTTAATTCTCTGGAACAAAAATTATGTGGAAAAAAAATTTAATGCTCATTATGCATGCGATATATTATCGTTCATCAAAAATATATATACTTAACAATAAAATAGTATGACGTAACAATAATTTTTCTGGGTAACATTATACAATTAAGTAACCAAATATGAAATCAAAGAAAAGGAAAGAATAAAAATAAGCCTAATCTTGGCCTATCTAAGTCTTAGGGTATGAGTTCACGGGAACCATACTCTTCTCCCTAAATTATGTATAATAATATTATATTTTTTGAAAATTATTTAATTATATGTGCGTGAACCCATGTTCAAAAACTCTATGGTACAATAATTATTGGGTGCACCTCTACGAGTGAAATTGGTGGTTCAGATCCCACTCCGGACGATCTTGTTTTCGGCACTAAAATCACTAAATTTTAAAAAGAATATAATTTTGAACCTATAATTTCAAAAGTGTAGTGGATACATGATAGATACTAAAGTTAAACTCGTCAAATATAAATTCTAAATCCGCATCTTCACAATAGTGACTCATACTCTTGAAATCCTCGATCCGCCCGACTCATGGACTATTTTTCGGGAGATTTGGATTTACAGTGTAAACAATGTTTGTTGTTGTTGATTTTTTCTACGGAAAATCAGTAAAATATAATATATATATAGAGAGAGAGAGTGGTTGTTTGTATACATATTTAGTTTCCTAAAAAACCCCTAACCAACAAACAAACCACACATTAATAGGAGGGGCATTATTGTCTAAACTCAATTATTTCTTCTCTCTTGTACTATTAGAGGCGTCCCACTCTGTTTTCTCAATTCTGTTTTTCTTTCTCTATCTTCTTGACACATATAGAAAGATGTGGAAGTCGATTATTAGGGTTGTAGGTTAGGAGTTAATTGAGTCGTACCTTATTTCGTATCATTGTGGGACTAACCATGTAGGCTTTTTGCCTAGATAGCTAGTGGTAATGTTGTGTCTTACAATTTCGCTTTTCAGTGTAGATCCTATTTACTAGCTATCGCTTTTGCTTTGCATCTTTCTTCTGGATTTCATGGTGTTCCTATTTTTCTTATTATTGTTGTGGTAATATTAATATTGTCTCCCTTTGCTTCGCATCTTTCTTCTGGATTTCATGGTGTTCCTATTTTTTCTATGATTGTTGTGGTGTTACTAACATTGTCTCCTTTTGTCCTTTTGTCTTTTTATTTTCTTGAGCCGAGGGGCTTTCGGAAACAGCCTTTCTACTCCTCCGGGATAGGGGTAAGGTCTGTGTACATACTACCCTCCCCATACCCCATAAGTGAGATTTTACTGGGTTGTTGTTGTTTTATAAGAGAACTTGTTGATTAGGATTTAGGATAATGTGTGTTTTGAATGTGCATCTCTTCATTTTCAATTGAACTGCAACGAAGTTCTCGTTGAAAATTTTGCAGTAGCCATTGCAAGAAAAAAAGAGGCGCTGGAAAATTGTTTAGCTCAAATATTTAAATATTTTTAAGAAAAGAGATTACTATGATTTATCTTTATTCTTTAATCGGTTGGCCAGTTTTATGCTTGTGATTGTGGCTTATTTCATGTCTTTTTTACTCAAAAAATCTTGACAGAAAATATATATCCAAATTATTCACACTAAATCTAAAGAATTCAAATCTTAATTTCTATGGAGACTATCTAAATTAAGAAGAGAAAGAAAATGATAGAATGCAAACAATTTGTAAGACATTCAAATGCCTTTGTTCGCCGATGGAGAGAGCAACGTGTAAATGAGAACTAGGTTTAGTTTTTGGTGGAAAGACAAAATCATCCGCTCTTATTTATTCATTGGTGGTATGCTGTAAGAGTTTTGTTTTTAGGGAAAGCAAACATGTATACGGTGCTCACAACTCTCTGTGTATAGATCCATCTTTTTTTATTTAAATTATAAAAGGACATGAAAAATTATTTCGTCCTTTGGCGAATTAAGCCACATTATTCTGAGGATGATAAAAATTATATTATATATACAGATAAAATATTAAATTTTAAATGTATAATATATATTGAACACTTTTATCAAAGAATTAAGCAATGCTTGATAATGCGCCCTAATTCTATTGGGAAATTACTCATTCTCATTTCTATGTTTGCGCAAAGACATCATACTTGTCTTTTTTTTTTTTTTTTTTTATTGATTAATTTGATGTATACTTTTAGTTTGATGATTGTGACTGTTAACTGTTAAGGTTAAGTTACTTAAGAAAATTACTCCACTAATCAACTATGATTATGGATCTCAGATCTCTCTCTCTCTCTCTCTCTCGCACACTAATTTCCTGATAACATAGGTGCCTGTCCGTGTCTCGTTCCATCAGCACTTCACTCTCTCTCGTAATTTTCTCTGTTTTCTCTCTCCACATGCTGATATTAAGAAAACATGCTGACCCTCTTCAAGATTAAAATGCCAAGTCTTTATAGGTTCAAATATCCAATACATATATATGCAGAAATATAGGAGAAATGGAGGCACTGAGAGATGCCTCTAGAGTGATAAAGATTGTATGTTTATGAGCTATGAAGCAAATTCAGAGAAGGGTTCTTGAAAATCAAAAGTGAAGATTAGGTTCTTGGGTGCATTTTGTTTAAGTAAATTACTCAAGAACTAAGAAAGATTAGATTTTTGAGAGAATACTGTAATTACTAGGGATTGGTTTAAGTTTTCTTGTGATTATATGAGTTGGGTATAGTGTAGAATTTGTTTTTTGGAATGCGCAGAGCAAAATTGGAACTTTTCTGGGAAGTTCATTTCTTGGGCTATAGTAGTTTTGGATAGTAAAGTTGCTATTTTGGGAAAAGCCAAGTTTCAATCTTGTGATTATATGAGTTGGGTATAGTGTAAAATTTGCTTTGTGTTGGAATGAGCAGAGCAAATTTGGAACTTTTCAAGAATTTTCAACTGTTGGACTATTGGATAATAGAGTTTCTATTTTGAAAAAAAAAAAGTTGGAAAATGATATCTTCAGGGATGAATTTGGTGATGACTGTTATTGGATTTGCAGTAAGTACTATGTTCATAGTGTTTGTGTGCACTAGGCTAATTTGTGCAAGAATTCAATTGAACGCGAGAAGGCGGTTTTTTGCAAATGCTTCTAGATCTGATCTTAGCATTGTGAGCACTTGTTCCATTACTGATTTAGTAGTATGTTGTTTTCTTTCTTTATACAGTTTCAACATCTCATTGCTTTATTGTTTGGTTTTTCTACATTTGGGTTGCTCTAGTCAGCACCCTCCACCTCCAATCAAGAGGTGGGGAGTTCTTGGAGGGAGGGGACCGAGGGTCTATCGGAAACCGCCTATTGACCCCAAACTAGGGATAAGTTCTGCGTACACACTATCCTCCCAGACTCCACTAATGGGATTATACTGATTTGTTGTTGTTGTAGGTTGCGTAGTTATAAAGTATTTGAGTTGAAGTTGAAATAGAGTATTTCGAAGCTGTGAAAATGTGTTCGCATAGAATTTCACTTGGAAAAAAAGATTAAGTTTGTGAGTGAAATATTCCTCAAACCATCTTCTGCAATTTCAAATTCTCTATTTCAAGTTGAAGTTGAAATAATGGACAAAATTGTAAAACAAGCATTGATTCACTGTAATATATATGTCCAAATGCCTACTTAAGTATCTGATCATGACTGCAGTTTTGATTGGTTGAGTAGTCTAGTTGGTGCATAGTACATACTCAACCGTGTAGGCCACTTAGGACTTTGATGTGTAGTTTGTTAAAGAGGGTTTGTGGGCATTTCAGATGCTTTTCTATGACTTGTCATATTTGAAGTCCTTTCAAACGAACATCAATTTGTCGTGATGATGCTTTTTTACTTTGTGCTTGTAGCTGTAGGTTTTGTTCCCCTCAGTTCACATCCTTTACCTCACAACCTACCTAAATTTAGTTGTACTTGATCAGTTACTGTTCAAAGATAGTACCCTTTAAGTCACTATTTTGCTTGGATTCTTCTTTAGTAACGGAAGCAGAACGATATTTTCGTGTGAATAACTAATCCTGCTTTTTGGTTAAATAATAGTGTATGTTTCCCTTGTATAGTTGGAGCGTGGTTTACATGGTCTCGAGCCTCTTGCTGTTGCCAATTTCCCGACAAAGAAATATGGCGATGTGTTTTTTACCTCTGCAGAAGATGCCCAGTAAGTTGATATTTGCTTCAATTTCTACATGTTATACAAGCTTTAGATAAATAATACTTCTTTCTAATTGGTGGTTCTTGACTTCCGCATAACATAGTCTATTTTTATCTTGAGTTCACAAACCAAATCTATTTTTGGTTGAAAGCAGGAATGAATAGTATGAAGTAGGACTACATAGCAAAAGAAAAAATAAGTTGAATTAGGATTATGGATATGTCTTCAGATTGTGTTGTACCTTTTCAACATTTATAATTTGTAAAGCCCACACAGTTAAAGTTTAACATGATGTTAGAAGTATGTGTGTTTGGGAACCTGGTAAATATATCTGAAGCATGACATCATTAAGTCAGTAATTGCCTTCATTTTGTGGAGGGATATTGTGAAGGTTCTTTACAGTTTTGATGCAAATCTTGTTATCCATTTAAAGAATGTTAGGAGCAAGAACAAGTGTCTGCTGGGTGCTAACTTAACTTTGTGTGCCCGGACAAGGGTGTTGACAGCTATGTGTGTTTTGTGTTAGTTGGATCGATGCTTTAAATATATAGCTAGTTACATTAATTCAGCCTGGGGCTACTAAACACTATATCTGTAGTTCAACCACGAGTGAAGTCTGTGTGTGGTGAAGAAAGTCACGTTAGACATGAGTTTCTACTTGTAGCTCGTATTGGGAGATGGTATGTTGGAGATGGAACCCAACATATTGCATATGTAATTCTATGCAAAAATTTGTAAGACAATTATAGCTTGCCCCTAATTTAAGTTTTTATGTTTTTTTCTTAAGTTCTTACTTTGTTTAACAACTGAGAATGGTGTTTATGGGGGGTAATAGTATGTCCACCTGCTCTGCAAAGTGAAATTCTTCTGGAGAAATAAATGAGATTTAGTTCCAAATTTGAGTTTTTTTGAATCATTTGGGATAAAGCGATCAGGAAAACTAGTTAAAGAGAAGAAGGCATTCTTGGTTGAGTGAATTGTTATACCGGTGTTCCTTTGTATACAGTTACATCGCTCTGCCCTTTGCTTCGCTTGTGCTGTCGTCCTCCAGTTATAGGAGAACAAACAATCAACACTAGGTCTACGTGGCATTATAATATGACCGAGTTATGCTAGAGATTGGGTTAAAAATGGAGAGCCTAAGATCACGTAGATTTCCTGTATATTGAAAATTATGATTAGCTACATTTGTCATTTTATCCTCGACCCTTTAGATCTGCCTGGTTTATGGTACATTCATACAAATGCCTGAATATTGGATATTGCCTTGTTTTGCTTGTGAAGACCTTCAATAAGAGCAAAGGTGTTTGGATATTTGTTCAAGGACTAATCGGTAGGACTATCACTACACCCATTACTATATAAACTTAATTTAACTATATATATATATATATATATATATATATATGTGTGTGTGTGTAGGTTGAGCCGAAGGTAGTGGATACATCCTCACCTGCTCTATTTTGTAGATCTGCCACTTTCCTTTTGCATAGGTTCTGAAAATTTCAGTTTCTACCGTTTCCTTTATGTTTCAATGTGATTCTTCCCAGCTGCCTCCATTCTGGAAAGGGAGAAATACTTTAGATTTCACTGTGCACATATGTTTGTATGTCTAGATGAAATCCTGGAGTAGGTGATTGCATTTTACTTGTATAAAGGTCTCAAATTTTCCTTTTTGCATTTTTGTTTTTCTTTTTTCTTTCATGTGCTGTTAAAAGGTGAAGCATTTCCGTTCACTCTCCATGTCTCTAAAACACTACTTATCTTGGATTATCGCAGGCAGTAACCATAATATGTTACAGTAATGAGAAAAAAGTTCACTGCTTTGATGTCTTGGTTAAAATGCAATCATTTTGACTATTAAAGCTTTGCTCATCTGAAACGTGTCCAGACTAATCAATAGGCTTTGTTAATTCACGTGAAGTCCATTTGCTGTTCTTGTTGAATTCTGCATTTAGAGCCTCAAAACTCTCTTCCAGATATATGGAAATGAAGAGTAAATCAGAAGATTAGGAGCTGGCATTGATTTTATACAGTAGAAAAATGAACTACTGCACATTACCACTGGTGTGATTCTATTAAACATAAAAGCTTGCTGTTAACTTTTTCCTCTGTTTCAGTGGGTGATGGGACATTATTATTTCAGAGTTCTCATAAGCTTCACTGTATGTATTGGGACACTATTTATCACCTTTTAGTTAACTGCCAAAGCATGTGTCATAGGTATTGAATATGACTATTAAACTAGGAAACCGAGAACTGTTAGGGAATTTCATCTTCTCAATCTGGACCTGGATTTTATGCGTCTCTGTTGGTAACGCAATATCTCTTTGAGGCATCAGGTTTTGAAGAATATAGAAGTAGGTTAGCATCGAGTTTAACATCATATATTAGGTTCGATGTAGATTTATGCATGATATGATTGCATCATATAGATGTTTCAGTCTCCTTTTTATGTAAATCCAAGATATTTTGAGCACTTTCTTGCCTTTATATCAGAGAAGCTAACTGCTTGGTAGGAAAGAATTGACTGGAAACCATTTATTGATGACTTCTAGACTAGAATAACAACAACAACAACAACACAGTGTAATAACACAAGTGGGGTCTTGGGAGAGTAGTGTGTACGCAGACCTTACGCCTATCTATAGGAAGGAAGAGAGGCTGTTTCCGGTAGACCCTCGGCTCAGGAAAGATAAAAAGAAGCAACAACAAGTAAACCAATTAGAAAACCAAATGAACAAAGCATGTTTCTTGAATTGGGTGCCAAAAGATATCTCTTTACAACTGTACCCATGTTTCTCCTGAATGCCGCATAATCATCGTCATTCATTGTACAAGAGAAATGACCTTCATTGTACGAATTATGCATGTAATGTCGTCTCTGAAATAGTCCCAGTGTTCATGTTAAATACCATGACTGTCATAGAATACATGCTTGACATGCATGTGATCATAGTTGAAATTTTTATCATTGTTAATACGCTGAACGAACGTGGCTAAACATATTGTGTACATCCGATGTTGAAGTGGCACATAAAGGGATAGCACTAAGCGTGTTTCCGTTAAGTTGAGATCTTTTCTTATATTATCAATTTTTATGGTCTCTGTATCTTGTGTGTTGTTGTTCGGAAATTTTGTAGCTTGTGAGTATTGCAAGTTTCATTGATCATAGTGTCTTTGCATATGTTTTTAACTTTTAACATAACAAATATTACCTTATAATTTCCTTTCCATCTTTGTTTTCATAGATGTATAGTCTGCCTTGCCGATTATCAAGAGCAGGACACACTACGTATTATGCCATTTTGTGGGCATTCTTTCCATGCAACATGTATTGACATATGGTTTCAGCAGCACTCCACGTGCCCAGTTTGTCGAATTTCTCTACGTGAGACTCCTGAGAAAAAGCGATTTATGCAACCTTTGTTTAGTTCAGCTATCCGATCTCACTATGCGATGGACTCCCTGAATATTAGTCCAAACAGCTGTCTATCATCCGCGCAGAGGCATTTTCCAAGATTACATGACAGTCTGAGAACGGATTCCACCACAGACGCTCACTGTCCACCTGAGGGTGGGAGGATGGTAGTCAGAGAAAATGGCGTCATTTTGAACGAGGATACTCAGAACACGAAACATTCAGAAAACAAACAAGTAGAGAGCCCATCAAATGCATAAGCTTTTAGGTCAAGACTGCAGATTTCCAAATTGACAGAGATTGGAAGATTCCACAATGTAGGTATCCCGATTTTGATTGGTAAATGACTTACTACTCTTAAGGCCTTTTGTAAATATTGCAAGGCAATGTTTCTTTTATTATTTTCCCCCTTATCTTCTTCTTTTTGAATACTTTATCAGTAGCCAGGTTTGATAGCATTTTATAGTGACGATAAGGGGGTGATAGGTTTGTCGGAACGATTAATTCAGCTCCTTGCTGCACAATGACACTTGCATATGAGTGTAGTAGACAAGATTGTATTGACATATTAGGTGTGTTATTTCACTTGAACCTGTTAGTTCTTATTTCTTACTATGTTTTCGCCAACTCTGAATGAAGAGTATGAAAAATCACACTTTCTAATAAACCATGTTATTAGGAGAAATACTTAGGTTAGTGATAGCTAGGGGCGGCAAACGGGCGGGTCGAAAATGGGGAAGGCAAAAAACGGATAAATCATTCGATCCGACCCATATTTAATACGGATAAAAAACGGGTTAACCGGCGGATAATATGGATCAATGATTTCTTGACTCCTAGTCTCCCAAACTTTAGAAACCTACAATTTGAGGCTTTAAAAGTTAAACCTATTAGTTATTATATTTTTTCTAAGTGAATAATATGGTTTTTATCCATATTTGACTTGTTTTTAAAAAGTTAAATATTCGACACATTTTTTAATAGATAATGATAATTATTTTCTTTTAACCATTTTACTACGATTAATAGTAGATATTCTAACAAGTCTTATGTGGAGTAACACTAGGCTAATAACATATTACACTAGTCTTATTCCTCAAGGTTATACGAATTGTAATAGTAGTTGAAAAATCTCTCGTCTTGAGTTGGCTTAAGCCATGCCTTTACTAAAGAATTCTCAGATGTTCAACGGCACTGGTCTCACACGTCCACTATCCCATGGACTATGGTGTACTTTTCAAGCTACCAAGTCATCTTTTGTATAAATATTTATATACGTTGGTTTAAAGTGATATGATTATGTAAATAAATTTTTGTTTTTCACGGTTGTGCATAACTCTAATATTTATGTGTACATCTTACTTCTTTCGCAAGTCCAATTCGGAGACAACTTTGTGATTTAAATTGATTTAGCGTAGTTGTCATGATACAGTACTTTGATCTAGAGGATATATAGAAAAAAATTTCCTTACCTTTTTTACATTATGTACTTGTATACGGTCGAAATCGGGTATGTCAAATTTCATAGGCACGAGGAGCTACCTCGAGAGTAAGTTCGTAATAGACCAGGTTCGAGCTCAATGGCAGAGTATGGAACATGAAGATCGAAGTGCTCGCTGAAGATCGAGACCGACTTCGAGTAAGGTATAATAACGGAATGACGAAATATTATCAACCGACCGAAGATCTCGGTGGAAATTCCGGAACAGATCGAATCAAGCGGCTATTTACGCCAATCGTGGGATTTGTTTCCGCTATTAGAATTGTACCTTATTTAGGATTCCTCTACTATATAAAGAGGGACTCCATTCATTTGTAGGGGGATTGATTCACTGAAAAATATATACAAAAACACTGCTCCCTATTACACTTATTATCTATTACTGTTCATCATTGTTTATTTTCTGTTCTTTACTGTTCTTCTCACCCAACCTCGAGACCATCCCGAATCGAGGTCGGAAGTACTGCCAGAACACTGGTTTGATTTATTTTACTATTCAGATTATCTATTAAATTTTTTGTTTATCAATTGGTATTGGATTAAATCACGTATCCTTAAAATCACTAAATAAGTTTAATTGTTACTCGAATTTTAGAGTAAACAGTTTGGCGCCCATCATGGGGCTAAGGATAATAGTGAATTTTTAGTACTGATTCTGGTGAAACACACTATTTTACGCTTGTTCTTGTCGAGTATCTTTGCTTTCAGGTTAAAACATGTTAAACTCACAAAACGCATCTACACACGGTGACAATGGCTCGGATTCCATGGTGAAAACGAAAATATGATTGCTCCAGGAATCGAAGTGCCACAGGCTACTCACGGGGGGAGCAGCGGTCGTCAACCCCATCGATGCCAGTTCGCACGTTGCTCTTAATACGGACTTAGGGGCAGATCTCGATGAAAGTGTACGCAGAGAAGGTCGATCTAGTGGCCAAGGAACACATGGCAGATGAGACGAGGGAGTCAGTCTCCAAGTAATATTCGAGATGCTTCATGCTCAGCAAGCCGTTATTGCTCAGTTACAAAATTAACATAGAGCTTCGAATAGGGTCGACTAGGAAATTACTCGCTGTACCGAGCCAGTACCGGAGAGGCCGAATGGTAACGAATCGGGGACTAATCCTGCGATAATTAAAATGCTGGAGGAGCGCACCAAAAGAATTGAATCATGGGAGAAGAGAATCGAAGCCAACGATAAAAAAAATGGATACATACAACTCTCGAGTTGATCAGATACCGAGGGCACCGCCAATCTTGAAAGAGGTGGATTCAAAGAAGTTTGTACAAAAACCCTTTCCTCCAAGTGCGGCTCCGAAGCCTATTCCAAAGAAGTTTCGTATGCCAGACATACCCAAATATAATGGTACCACCGATCCCAACGAGCATGTTACTTGATATACATGCGCCATCAAGGGTAACAATTTAGAGGATGATGAAATCGAATCTCTGCTGTTGAAAAATTTCGGAGAGACCCTATCGAAGGGAGCAATGATTTGGTATCACAACCTGCCACCAAATTCCACCGACTCATTTGCCATGTTAGCGGATTCTTTCATAAAAGCACATGCCGGGGCCATAGGGGTCGCAACAAGGAAATCGTACCTTTTCAAGGTAAGACAAAGGGATAATGAAATGCTGAGGGAGTTCGTGTCCCGATTTCAAATGGAACGCATAGAGTGCCATCGGTCACAGTTAATTGGGCCGTTCAAGCTTTCACCCAAGGGTTGAACGAGCGGAGTTCGATAGCATCACGTCAGTTGAAATAAAATTTGATCAAATATCCAGCTGTAACTTGGGCAGATATGCACAATCGATACCAATCGAAGATCAGGGTCGAGGACGATCAATTGGGAGCTCCTTCCGGTTCAGCACATCCAAACAGGTCGGCAGTTAAAAATCAGAGGGACATAGATATGGAGCCAAGGTCGAACAGAGACCGATATCAACCATATACCGCAGATCGAAGGAATAATAAGGATAATGGTTCGTGACGCAATTCCGCCCGGAACGATCGGAGAAATGATCGATGACAGAATTATCGGTGACTTATGAGCAATAATGGCTTTGACAAGTACGCCGATCCCACAGAATCACCTCGGTTATCAGAATATAACTTTAGCATTGATGCGTCAGGCATTGTATCGGCAATCAGAAGGATCAAAGATATTAGGTGGCCCAGACCCATTCAAACTGATCCTTCTCAAAGAAACCCAAATTTGATATGCAAGTATCATGGCACACATGGTCACAAAACTGAGGATTGAAGAAAACTAAGGGATGAGGTAGCCCGTCTATTCAATGAGGTCCACCTTCGATAGTTCCTCAACGATCGAGCTAAGAATCATTTCAGAGAAAGAGACGCCAATAGGAAAAATGAACAGGAGGAACCCCAACATGTCATTCATATGATCGTCGGTGGGGTCGACATTCCACATGGACTAATATTCAAACGCACTAAGGTATCAATCACTAGGGAAAAATGAACCCGAGATTATGAGCCCGAAAGCACTTTATCATTCAATGACGAAGAAGCAAAAGGCATTTCTCAGCCCCACAATAACGCTCTAGTAATTTCTATCTTATTAAATAAAGTTCAAGTTAAGTGTGTTTTAGTGGATTCAGGTAGGTCGGCGAATATCATCCGATCGAGGGACGTGGAGCAGCTCGGCCTATAAAATCAAATCGTGCCCACAGCTCGGGTCCTAAACGGCTTCAATATGGCCAGTGAAACAACTAAAGGGGAGATTATTCTACCGGTGAACATGGCTGGAACCATTCAAGATACTAAGTTCCACGTGATCGAGGGCGACATGAGGTACAATGCCCTACTCGGAAGGCCTTGGATCCACAATATGAGAGCAACCCTTCGACACTCTACCAAATGATAAAATTTCCGATATCAGACGGTGTAAAAACAATATACAGGGAGCTACATGCTGCAAAGGAAATATTTGCGGTCGATGAGGTAACACCGATATCGACACTATCAGCCTCGGAAAGGTCGAATATCAAAGATAAACAGGAAGTCAAATAGCAATCACAACCACCTGCTTCGACCGAATCGGGGAAGTGGGAGATAAAAGTAGAAGATGAGGATTTTCTGACCCCTCGAACTTTTGTTGTTCCCGAAGATACTGACGCCACCAAATCAATGGTCAAAGATCTGGAACAGGTTGTATTGATCGAGTACCTGCCCGAGCGAAAGGTATACCTGGGAACGAGATTAACTCCCGAACTCAGGAAAAAACTTATTCAATTTCTTGTTGATAACATAGGTAAATCAATGGAGGATTATATTAATGACATGCTAGTTAAGTCCCTGCGCGCAGAGGACCATTTGACTCATTTGTAGGAAACGTTCGAGATTAAAAAGAAATACAACATGAAGCTCAACCCCGAGAAATGTGCTTCCGGGGTTGGTTCAGGAAAGTTCCTTGGCTTCATGGTATCGAATCAGGGAATCGAGATCAACTCCGATAAAATCAAGTCCATCGAAGACATTGCCATCGTGGATAGTGTAAAAGCCATACAGAGGCTAACTGGGCGGATAACTGCCTTAGGACGATTCATTTCGAGGTCATCGGATCGAAGCCACAAATTTTTCTCTTTACTCAAAAAGAAGAACGATTTCGCCTGGACCCCGGAATGCCAACAGACATTGGAAGAGTTGAAGTGATACCTATCGAGCCCACCACTGCGTCACACTCCAAAGGCAGATGAGAAGCTTTACTTGTACTTGGCAGTATCAGAAATCGCGGTAAGTGGTGTCCTAGTTCGAGAAGAGCAAGGTACGCAATTTCTCGTTTATTATGTAAGTCGAACTTTAGGAGAAGCAGAAACTAGATATCCACACTTAAAAAAATTAGCACTTGCACTGATAAGCGCCTCTAGAAAGTTAATACCATACTTTCAATGTCACCCAGTATGTGTATTAACCACTTACCCACTTTGTAATATTTTGCACAAGCCCGAACTTTCGGGCCGATTGGCCAAATGGGCCGTCAAACTCAGTGGTTACGACATCGAATATCAACCTCGGACGACCATCAAGTCTCAAATTTTAGCGGACTTCGTGGCCGATTTCACGCCAACCC